TTTTTTTTTTTTTTTTTTTTTTTTGCTTGCATGTGTGTCTGTGTGAAAGTGTTGGAACTCCTGGAATTGCAACTACGGACAGGTGTGAGCTGCCATGTGGGTGCTGGGAATTGAACCCAGGTCCTCTGAAAGAGCATCCAGTGCTCAGTGACCGCTGAGCCATCTCTCCAGCTCAATTCTTTCTCCTTTATTTTGTGTCTTTCTGTACCTAGAGGAAGAACCAATTCTTTCTAGAAACTGCTTTCTGGCTTTTGAAAGTCCCAGGGGCTTGCCGAGTCAGAGTCCTTCAGCACGAGACACTTTTTGACATTTGATGTTTAAAAATGCTTTATGGTACTTTCCAGTTCTTGTTTGCTAAATTGGTTCAGATAATTGCTTCTTTTTTAAAAATTTTGTTATTTTTATTTTATGTGTATGAATGTTTATTTGCATGTGTATGTGTGCACCCTCAGAGGCTAGAAGAGGGTGTTGGATCCCCTGGAATTGTAGTCACAGACAGTTGTGAGCCATCATGTGAGTGATGGGAACTGAGTCCAAGTCCTCTGCACATGCTCCTAACCACTGAGCCATCTTCCCAGCCCCCGTGGAGCCTTTATTAGTTGCTAATCTCAGAAAAAGGCTTAACAACTCCTCTCCTTTGTGGTCCCCTCTGTTACCAAAGGAACACTGTAGCATGTTTTATTTTTTAGTATTTTCACATTGAGATCAGTTCTCTCTCTCATGCTGTCATAGCTTTGGAAAGTCTTTCTGATCAAAATTGATTTCTTTTTTGGTGTTCTATCATGTTGATGTTGCATCCCACCCTCCATTTCAGGGATCAGATCATTGCTTGGCTTGGTACAGTTTGACCTCTAACTGTGGTCTCAGAGTGTGTCTGTCCTGGGTGAATGACATCATGTGAAAAGGATAGGCTAGAGTAGTTTCCTTCTGCTTCTTAGAAGGGTCTGGGGGGGAGGGCAGAACTCAGTAGATGAAGGTGTTGCCCTAGTGCCCATGTTAAAAACAAGCAAACGAACAACAAAGCCAGGTATTTGTTTGTAATCCCAGCTCTGGGAGACTGAGACAAGCAGTTCCCTGGGGCGTACTGGCCAGCCTAACCGAAGCAGCAGGCCTCAGAGCCCAGTGAGAGACTGTGTTTCAGAAAACAAGTGTAGGGCTCCTAAAGACCAACAGCTGGGGTTGACCTCTGGCCTGCCTGTGTACTTGTACAAATAAACACACGCACGCGCACACACACACACGAGGGGGCAGCAGCACTTGATTCTCCACGGTGGTCTCTTTACTTACATCTAAAGCTATTTATTTAATTTATTTATTTATTGAGACAAGGTTTCTCTGTAGCTTTGGAGCCTCTCCTGGAACTAGCTCTTGTAGACCAGGCTGGCCTTGAACTCACAGAGATCCACTTGCTTCTGCCTCCTGAGTGCTGGGATTAAAGGTGTGTACCACCATCTCCTGGCTTCAAGTTGATTTAATATCTCAACCCTCTGAAAATATTTCTATCATTAAGATAGAGAACACTAAAAGGCATACTGTAACTATGTAAATACAAAATTTTCAGGCTTATCATTCTCCCAAATGTGCATTTACAAAGCACAGAGCGCCTGGGATACTGCAGTAAAGCCGCGTTTCTTCGTCATTTGGCATCTCAGGGACACTTTCTTGTGAGAAAGGATGAATCCTTAGCTTTGTCCAGAGGACATTATTGGTAGATCAGAGGTTCTAGGACTTCCATGTTCTTTGTAGAATTTTGGGAGCAATGAATGCTGTCTACTTCGTAATATTCTTTAAGAAGTTAATGCCGTATTGACCCAGGATGAATCAGAACTCAGGTATGCAGCCTCTTGTCGAGCCACACCGGCTGTTAGACCTGTAAGGCTTGATTGTAGTTTGTTGGAATGTGAAAACCGTCCGTCAAAGTAGACCAGAGGTTGATTAACCCTGCTGAAACATAGGATGCAGTCAGTGAGCAGCAGCTGGAGTCAGCCTCTAGAGTGGTAGTTTCTCAGTATAAACATAAACGGCATTTTGAGTGATTACTTTAGTTCAGTGGGCATTTTACGACTGGTATAGAAATACAAGAGAAGTCTGGTGACTCAATATTTTTATTTTTGAGACAGAGTGTTGCTCTGTCTGGAACTCTCTTTGTAATACTGGCTGGCCTTGAGTTTATGGCAATCTTCCTGTTGAAGCCTTCCGAGTGCTGGGATTATAGGTGTGAACCACTATGCCCAGCTGGTGATGCAGATATTTAATAAGGAAAAGAAAACCTGAATGTCTTCCAGTTCAAACAAATTCTTGTTCACAAGGCCTTCAAAGCAAAAAGCCCAATCCTCTTGACCCTCCCTTTATGGCTGAGTCTCCACCCCATTCTGTCACTCATTTTCTCTATGGCTGAGTCTCCACCCCATTCTGTCACTCATTTTCTCTATGGCTGAGTCTCCACCCCATTCTGTCACTCATTTTATTTATGGGTTTTACTTATCTGCCTTTACTCATCCACTCTTCTAAAATTGCTCAGAAAATACACAAAAGATTAGTTTTGTATTGATGGAAAGGATTATAATTCAGGATCCATCCTCTGCTGGTATTTATATGATATAAAATCGTTATGATAAAGTTTCCTGAGGAAATCTTTCTTATTTCCTATGATCGCCATGAAAAGAGGAAAGAGCGGTAGTCTAATAATGGACGGGATGATAATGTGTGTATTGTTACAGTTGGGGGCCCAAGAGGCCAAGAGTGACGCATTATCTCCGTATGCTTCCCTTGTCCAGTTTGATCAGTGCATTCGGGTCCCGCATTCTATTGCACTTGATGTTGAGTTTTGCTGGTTAAAAGCTGTGCAGAGAAATTGCTAGGGATTAAGAGGAACCTGAAAGATGATCAGGGCAGCAATTTTCTGATTTCACAGTGAAGTACATCAAATAGTCTAGGAGAACAAGGTGACAGCTGGCTGGTCTGGGGACGTGTCTTAAAGTGACTTCAATGCAAACTTAAAACCTCTTTTGTTTCAGTGTTCACTTAAAAATCATGGAGGCAAAAAGTCTTATGGTTGGCTTGGGGTGTTTAGTACCAACAAACAAGTTGGTAGATTGTTTTGTCTAGCATAAGAAAGCTCTGGGTTCAATCTCTAGCACTTCACAACAGCAGAGCCTGTAGCACACACCTGTGATGTCGGCATTTGGGAGGGGATGGCAGTAGGACCACAAATTCAAAGTTATCCACAGCTACCAAGTGAGGTCAGGGGAAGCCTAGAATACACGAGACCCTCAAATGACAAGTAGTTTGTGTCCTTACCTGTCATGTTTGCTTGTAAGTGTTGGTATGTATCTGACCTTTGCTGTAATTCACCTAGTGCTAGGGAATACAGAAAAGAAGAAGCAGGGTGGTTGGATTTATATCATAAAAGATTTCTGATTTGGGACTGGAGAGGTGGATCAGTGGTTAAGTAGCACTTCCTGTTCTTCTAGTAGACCTGGGCCTTCATGGCAGCTCACAACCATCTATAACTCCAGTTTCAGGGGATCCAGTGGCCTCTACTATCATCAGGCCTGATATGGTCACAGACAAGTATGTAGGCAAAACATCCATACAAATAAGATTTCTGATTGTGGGTGGGTGTTCTCCTCTTTTCCCTTTGTATTATCATTGTTCAGAAATAGGTCTTTTATTTCGTTTTGTTGTTTTTCAAGACCAGGTTTCTCTGGGTAGCTCCAGCTGTCCAGGAACTCGCTCTGTAGACCAGGCTAACCTGGAACTCAAGATCCGCCTTCCTCTGCCCCCCAAATTCTGGGATTAAAGGTGTGTGCCACCACTGCCTGGCTCAGAAATGGCTCTTAATGGGTTGCACTCCTAAAATCACAAATAGCCATGATATGCCATGTAAGTGTAAGGGCTCAAGTCTTTATAACTATAGTACTCTCAGAATGGAGCCTTATGTTGAAGAGAAAAATTAATGGAAGAGAGAATGTCAGGCAGGAGACACTGATGTGTATGGTGAGGGTCAGGTTCAGCAAACTTAACGAACCATTGGTATGATTTCAGGAGAGAGCATTGGCAGTTGCTGGGTAATTTGAAGACTACTGTGGAGGGTTTGGTGTCAGCCAACTGCCCCAATGTCTGGTCCAAGTATGGTGGCCTGGAGCGGCTTTGCAGGGACATGCAGAACATTCTATATCATGGGCTCATCCATGACCAGGTATGTAGAATTAATTTTCTCCCTATCTAATTGGCTGAATCTCTTGGAAAACAGCTGCATGAAGGTGGTTGGCAGAGAAAAGGTGAAGCCCATTGGTTTCTGTGAGATCCTAAGTATAGAACTGACTACATGTGTTTGCATGCTTGTGTGTGTGTGCATCTGCCTTTCTGTCCTACCCCACCCCATCTCTCTCACTCAGTGCCACCATAGATCTATGCCAGAGGAATGAGTAAACTGCCAGGACAGGCAGCACAGCAGCAAGAGGTTAGGTCAGTTTGGTTCCTGTTGATTCCATAAGAAAGATGAATTTATTGACTAGTTACAGATTTATTATCTTTCAGCTCTTGAGGTTAGAATTCTCAAATAAGTTTCATTAGACTCAAGCCAGGGTGTCTGCTGTGCTGCACTCCTAGGAAGTGCTAAATGTTCCTTCTCTCCTTGTCCTTTTCAGCTTCTGGCTGTTTTCCTCGAATTCTTTAGTTAGTGCCACCACTGCCCAGTCTTTGTTGTTGCTGTTAATGTGACTATTTTTAATTTTTATTGATTTATTTTTAAGTTTATGGGTGTTTGCCTGAATGTATGTCTGTATGCTGCATGCATGGCTGGTGCCCTCAGAGACCACAGGAGGGCATCGGATCACCTGGGACTGGAGTTACAGATGTTTGGAAGCGGACATATGGGTGCTGGGGTTAAGCCCAGGTCCTCTGGAAGAGCAACCATGCTCTTAACCACTGAGCCACCTCTCCAGCTCCTAGAAGACCATTTTTATCATCAACCATAACCAGGAAGATTTTCCTCTCCCTTAATTTTAGTCTTGTTTTAGCACCATGCTTTTGATCTGTGGCTGGAGCCCAGTGGTGGTAAAGCAATTGCTGTGTGTGCAGGGCCCCGGGTTCAAGCCCCAGCACTGAAGTCACTTACTCAGTTAATCAGTAAATAGAAAAACCATGCTTTCTCTCCAAGCCCCTGCCCAATGTGGAATATTGGAATATGGAATAAAGCTGATGCAAAATGTGTACAGTCTCTTTCATCCAGGAAATGTTTCTGCTTAGTAAGAAGCTGAAATTCCATGTGGTCAATTATTCTGTACTTGGAAGGCTTTGGCCTATAGACCAGTGTGTGCTGTGGAGATAGATCGTTGGGCTTGATGAGTTTGCTTAATTAGAATGAATGTTTCTTGTTTGATCCAAAACCATCCTTTCTTCATCTGACTCTGGTGTTGCAAGGAGGTGTGTGTGTGGGGGTGGTGTTCTGTCCCAGCCACCTGGCTAGCTTACACCTGAAATAATCACACAGAAACTGTATTCATTTAAACACTGCCTGGCCCATTAGCTCTAACTTCTTTATTGGCTACTTCTTACATCTTAATTTAACCCATTTCTATTAAATCTGTGTATCACGACGTGACTGTGCCTTACTGGCAGGATTCTAACCAGCGTCCGTCTCAGGCAGGAAAGCCATGGCTTCTGTCTCTCTGCCCTTCTTCCCAGCACTCAGTTCTGTCTACTCCGCCTACCTAAGTGCTGCCCTATCAAAAGGCCAAGGCAGTTTCTTTATTCAACCAAGGAAAGCAACACATAAACAGAAGGACCTCCTACAGCACTCTGGATTGCCTTAAATTTAGACTTTTGTTGTTACTTTAATTTAAAACAG